CACCCCCACCAGCTATTAGACTTCTAGGAAATACCTGTTCACGTCTCAGGAGGGTATGACCCTCAAAACACAAAACAGGTGGGCAAGCTCTGGCATCCCATAACTTTATTATGGAAAGGCTTATGTAAAAAAGCATCTAGAACTGTACAAAATGTATATTACATCATTTTAGGACAAATGGAAGTGTCCCTGGGGAAAAAAAGTTAATGGTATCCTCCCTCAGCTTAGGACTTGAAATAAAATCCTGGTTCTCGCCATTCGGTCATCATCATAGGGAGACTTCAACTAGAGCAGCCATCATGGGCTCTGTTTGGAAACTACCATAGAAAGCCAGGCAAGGACTCATAGGCTTAAACATGTAAAGATATGTTCCCCCAAATGACAAACAATTTCAAAGAGATTCTACAAAGACAACCCTAGAATTCTAGAGCATGCCAAAGAGGAAAGTGTATTTGTAAAAGGATGGTTCGCCTTTTACCTAAAACTCATTTGCTGTCAGACAATAGTTGTTAGAGGAAGAATGTGACTTAAGAATATAAAGTCCTGGGTTTTCACTTTCACAAGTAAGGTCTCAGCTGCCTCATTTATAAAATATGGGCTAAAGCCTGATCTGTCTTCATCACATAGAAGACATGAGACACCAATAGAAAATTAGTGAGAAGACTTCATAAACTACTACAGCACAATGCAAATGGAGGATTGTAAAAACAGGTAACCTGACAAATTAAACAAAAGCAAAAACTCATTTCTATTACTCCTAAAGTTAAAAGTAAAAAGAGCTCATTTCTACTAAGTCTCTAAGATAAAAGTCACTCTGTTACAAATTAGTGTTATATCTTCCAATGCCATCTGAAGAGTCTGACGACTAACCTCAATGGAATCTTTCATGTACATTATGGAATAACAATTTATGTTTTCTTGGGTAAAACTCAGCAAACATACATACATGCTCTCACATGCACAAACATACAAGCACAAAAAACTGATCTGGTTACCGGGACATGTGGGGTGGGGTGAGGGGAGGGAGTGGAAGGTGGAGCACAGGACAGGGAATAGACACAGGATAGTTTGGGTGCT